TACCATATTAAACTAACATTTCAAAAATATTGTATTAAAGTCATTATTTTATCCTTTTTTACCCACCATTAATTATTATTATCTTATTTTTTACTATTTTAAAAAAATTTACTTACCCGGACGAAATTGGGTGTTGACAATTGAAATGCATAGTATGATGGTGGTAATGTGATTATATTGAAAGTATGAGAATGTATGAGACATGGTTAGTGGTTGAAAGTAACAAGTGTGGTTATTAGACGTAATTCCATGATCTTCAAGGAGAGGATCCATGGTGGTGCTCTTGGTGTGTTTTAGAATGATTTGCATGGTAGCTCAGTCTTGGGGGTTATCCTGAAACTACAATGGTAGCCCTATATTATTGGACGTAATTCCATGATCTTCAGGGAGAAGATTCATGGTGGTGCCCTTAGTGTTTAGAATGATTTGCATGGTAGCTCAGTCTTGGGGGTTATCCTGAAACTACAATGGTCAATCATTCTCAGGTAGAGAGGATTGAACCTTGTCGTGAGTAGTAGCAGGAGGTCCTAGTCTCAGGTGCTTCCAGTATGCCCCAAGGTGAGTGATAACGGACTAACTTCGTGAGTGTGGTAGGGCGAAACCCATTGGCAATGGCTTTGCAAAGCAGTAGAGGCCACCATGAGTGCATAACCCGCCATAGCTCGGCAATCATTCTAAGTCCGGACGACTCAAGTGTAAAGTGTAACAAGTTGTGTTGTGTGGTCCATTAACTTTGAATTAAACTTGCATGTTGTGTGTGATTGTTATAACATGATTTTTGTATATCTAGCTCACCCTTTTGCTTGTGTTTGTTTGTTGTTTGTGTCGTGTTTCTGTTGCAATGATCATCCACTTGGATATGAGCAGGGGTGGATGAGGTGCCTCTTGAGCAGGCTTTGGAGGGAGATGATGTTGCAGCTTAGTCTAGTTAGAATTTCTAATTGTTCCTGTTTATTTTGAAATACTCTAATGTAGTTAAAGTTTTAAATTATGACTTCTTTTGGATGACTGTAATCTTAATACTTTATTTACAGTCTTATTCTAATGGTTCTCTTAAATTAAAAATGTGGACTGTTATATTATATATTTATATATAATTTGGGATGTTACACTAATAGTTAATTTAATTTACATAATTTATTTATCAATTTTATCTTCTATTAATATTATGTCTCATTTTATTATTTTATCTTTTTAAATTTTGTAAATATATTTTTAAACTCAATCAATTACCTTCAATAAAAAAAATTATAAATTTTATTATTTTATATTTGTAAGTTTTATAAATACTTGTTTAAATTCAATTAACTATTTTTAATATAAAAAACATATGAAAACCTAGAAAATGGTTTGTCATTTTAATAATAAAAGGTTTAAGTTATATAAATATTTCTAATAGTAAATTGTTTGTTATCAATCTTTTGAACTTGTAATTATTATTTGATTTAGCTTGTGCTAAGTATGATTAATATCATTTATCATTGAGTGTTAAATTGGTTGAATTTGATTAGATAATTTGAGGGTAATGTGTTGATATGTTTTGGTATTATTATTGCAGAAAAAAAAACTTTTGACATATTTTATTTTGGAAATTCAACGTCCAATATAGCACCGATGTCTTATTGGGAGACATTGACACAAACTGATGTTCCATTTGTCTTTTTTTTAAAAAAAAATAAAATTATTTTTACAATAAAATCATACTGAAATATAAAAAATGTTTCCAGTTCATCACAAAATGATATATACTATGTGCTTCAAGTCATTATAATACTAAACAATCTAAAAAGCAATCCAAAATACTAACAAAAATATTAGCCTTCTTGAAGGGTTGAAAATAGAAATCACCAAAAGAGAATGGACATAAACAATGCAGAATGGGCATAAGTAATGAAGAAGGAAAGCGTCGTCGCAGAGGTCTGAGAACTTGCACACAAGAACTGCACCAAAAGTCAATGAAAACGAATTTTAATCGAGGCAAATGAAAGATAATGGTTCTAAACGTAATATAATCGATGCAAAATGATTTTAAACGGTGTAAAGTGAAAGAAAACTTACCTGAACGTTAATGGTGAACAAGATAAAGCAGAGGAAGAAGATGAACACAGTGAGAGAGAAAACGTGTAACTGGTGCTCGCATTTTGGAGTGGGTGAAAATGCAGGGTATTTGACGTCGGCTCCCCTCCCAGCCCATGTCAAAGGGCTCTAAGGCTTTGGCCCCCTTCCCAGTCGACATCTAAGTGGTAAAAAAAATTAATATTGGTGCCTAAAATGAGGTAATTTCGCACCTTTTTAACGTTTGTGGAGAGGGGGCTGACGTTTGTGTGAAATTGTATGAAGTATGTGTTAAAAATTAATTTTAAACCTAATTCAACTCTACAAAATTGACTTGTCAGGTGATATTTGCATCCTTTATATACTATAAACTCGTCTTATTTTAGTAAATGTGAGACTTTTAACACACTCCTCACACCAAGGTATATACATACATCTTGTGTGTGGGATCGCCCATTAATGTCTACTCCTACTCAAGAGAACTATATACCTCAGTGTGAGGAGACTGTTGAAAGTTTTACATCAACTAGAGATAAGGCAATTTCACAGTATATGAATGGATGCAAATATGACCTTACAAGTAGATTTTGTGGGGTTGAATTAGGCTTAAAGTACATTTCTTAACATAGTATCATAATCATGCGTTAAAGCCTATCTTAACAAGATTTGTTGTTTCTTGGACATATGAACATATTGTTCCACCGACTACTATCAGACCATTTATTAATATCTAGTTTCACACATGAGAAGTATATACCTTAGCGTGATGGGTGTTGGAAGTTTTATATCGACTAGAGATAATGTAATTTTATGTAAATCTTACTTTACAATTTAGTTTTATATGGCTGAATTAAACTTAAAGTTTATTTTCTAGTTTTTTTAATATTATTATGAAATATATTACCGTGATAGTATTATGATTTTAAAATGGAATGTTATAAAAATAATATGTAATAAAATTATAAAAGTTATATATTTTATAAATAAATATATATATATATATATATATATATATATATCATAATATATTTTTTATTAATTATAACTAAACATATAAAATTAAGATTTCATTTCATTAAAGATAATAAGCTTAAAATTACCGGACATTTCTTAAAATGAAAAGAAATGTCCGGTAGTTTGTGTGTACATTATCAAGAAAGATTGAATAAGTTCAAAGCTCTTTTAATAAAAGTAATTATTTTTTAACAAATACTTTTTAAATTACATAACAATAAATTTTAGAAACAATATTGACAGTTAAGCGAAAAGAAAACAATAAAAAAAAAAGAGATAAACAAAGAACACACTGTATTGTCCTATAAGTTAAGTAAACAATAATATATTTAATCTGCTTATTTGAGATAATCCTACTCAAATTTGGTAAAATTGGACAATAACTTGTTTCTCTTTAGATATTTATCACAAATTTTAAGTCAACATCCCAATCCATTTAATTTTACATGAAGTGGTTCTTTTTATTTATATAAAGATATATAAAAAATTTAAAAGTACTTTTAATTATATATTGACGTATAACAAATTTGTTTATTTCGAAATGTGAAAATCCTTGTGTACTTAATTTAATAAAATTTAAAAAAGCAATATAATAAAAGTTTGTATCAGGAAAATGATTAAATATTTGTATTATAAGTTGGATTTTTTAGTTTAAATCACCATTGCAGCAGAAGTTTGTGAGTTGAGGAAAATACCAGAGATTGAAACGGCTAAACTTGTGCAACGCCTTCTCCTTTATTTAACCCATTCTTGTTGCATCTTCTCTCTCTTCCTCCCTATACTCACTTTCTTCTAACTTTTGCACCTTCTTTCTGGATTTCCTGCACATTGTGTTTCAGATAATGAGACTGCTTATTACCATGCCATCTACGGCCTAGTAATAAACAGCAGGATCAGGCACCTTCATCATTTCACCATACTGTAAATGTCCCGTTTCTGGGTACCTTTTCTATTCAATCTTTTCAATACCATTTTCTCTTTCAAAATCCTTTCTTTTAATTCCTATTACAACCTATCTTCAATTGGGTTATCTGTTTGCCATTATTTTCATCCTTTAGTACATTTTGCATTTCTGTATAAACATCCATGATACGTAATAAGTTGGTTTTCATAGTCCCTTTAAATATTTGGTATGTTATATGTGCTTGAAGAATCATCTTCAATAAAATAAATCCTTGTAACAATTAAAAAAAAGTGAAGATTTTCGATTCTGTGCATGCAAGTCATCTATCACCTTTGCTATCTTACATATTATGGGGTGCTAGCAACATTCAATTTAGCCAAATTGCTTGTGTGAATCTGCTCCTTCAACATTCAAGGATAAGACTACTTATGTGTGCTTTGTAGTTGAGTTGAAACAAAACCTTGTATTTGAGATTCTGGTTTTACAGAACATACAGACTCTGAAAGACTTTGATATTTTTGGCTGATGGAATCTGTAAGTAACCGTGAATGTAGTGCTGATAAGAGAACTGGTTCTTCTACAAATTCAGGTGCAGGAAAACAATTTAACAAAGAAAAGAAACAAGTATCATCTACTTCACCCTTTTTATCAGAGTTGTTATCACAAGATCATTTTGTCTTTATGCCAAATGCAACAACCACTGCGACGAGCCGCGTAATCGACTAGCTGCAACATCTCCTAAAGGTGACCAAACATACTTTCGGTCTGAATTGCACAACACACAGTCAATGGCAGAAAGGGGAAATAGAAGTCCAATTAACACCCACTTGGAGCCTAACCCTTTTGGTGAAGCTCATCCTTATCCAATGTCAAATAACACATCCTCCTCCTTTTCATCATCACAAAACCCCTTCTTATTCGTGAGTGATGCCACCAAAACTAACAATGTTGGTGCATATGCAAATCAAACGGAGCATGATCATCTACATTCATTTTCTGCCATGAATCAAGAAAGAGGTGGCATGACTAACAATAGTGTTAATGGACTTCCGGGTGGTCTAATAGACTCCCATTTATCAATGTCACCGCATACCAATGAATCATCACCAGGGAATCCCTTCCATGTGCCAACAAGTTCAACCGTCGGTAGTGAAAGTCATCATACGCTTCCTTCACCGGAGCGAGGTCATTGGAGCATGCCTAGTAGCGAAGCAAGGACACAGCCTTTTAACACACATGGTGAAACACTTGATCCCTTTCCAGGCCAACTATCAGACCCCTTCTTCTCATTAGAATCAGCAAAAAACAAACAACGAGCTGATGCTACTACCACCCCAATGAGTGAACAGCATGACCCATTTTCAGTTACAAATGAAAGACAACCCCATTCTGCAAACTCTGCCACGAAATCACCTCAAAAAAAGGGAAAGGATGTTAAGTTCGCTACCGAAACATGTGATGATGATATCCCAATCAGTTCTTTTCCCAACCATGGACAACAACCTAGTGATGGTTTGCCTGCCTTCAGTAATGGCTCAGAAAAACAAAATCCTCCGATACAGGTAATGGAGCGTCCAGAGAATCCTTCATCTTCTTCTGATTATAGCTTTCCATCTCATGTGTTTGATAGACACAAATCAAACACCCAATGGAGCACTGCCTCTAATGAATCATTGTTCAGCATTCAAATGGGAAACACGAGTTTCTCAAGTGATTTGGGTTGGATTACTAAATCTGGCGAAATGGATAGACTCAGTGACATGAACACGTCTGGTTCACCATTTCATGGAAACCAGCCCCCACTCCCACCTCAACTCCAATCCCCAGCAACAAAATTCACTGATATCAGCCATAGCACTGCCAAACAACATGAAGGTTCAAAAGTGACTGAAGAAAAAGCTGCCGAGACAATGAGAGAGGTTATAATGGAAAGCAGCATAAAAATAAGTAGCTTAAGTGACGCGGATTTGACATATCCTGGACGGGCATCATATTCTGATATGCGTTGTAGTTCTGGCACTCATTGTCGTCATTCAGATGGCAGCACCATATCCTTTGCGTTCAATGTGTAAGCTCTCGCCACTTCTTCTTTTGTACGCAAATATCCATTCTTATTTCACTAACTTGCTGTCTGGTGCGTTTTATGGGATCCAAATCACGATGGTACCATGAAAATCTGTAAGCAAATCTCTGTTGCTTTGCTTTCTACCTGATTGGATTGATTTCAGCAATCTCGAGGCCAAACCAAAAATGCCATACCCATATGATATACTAATAGCATGGTTGGTTTGACTTCTCATTGCTCCCCCAAATCAATTCAGATTTATACTTTGCAAGCCGAGTAATACAGAAATTCTTCCAGCCTTTCATGATGTGACCGTGTTTTTCATTCACTGACAATCCAGTAGTAGTGTATTTGGACAGTGATTCTTTTATATTTTTGTTTGTATTGTGAATAATTTTGATTTGGAAAGTGTAAAATTTAGTCTTTGAACTCATACTATAAGAACACATAATATAGGGAACATGAAAATGCATCAACAATGAATTCAGAAATAAATCTTATTATCACTGGACGAAAATTACTCTGATGATTATGACGCTTCTTGATGGTGGCTGATTCTTAACTTGATGCTACGCTTTTAAAGAAAAAAATACTGAACTTTTTGTTTGTGATGTGAAGATTTACTGATGGAGAAAAAGCTCTTTCATCAAAGCATGAAGAGGAGAAGAAAAAGCAGCAGACACAGCCAGCGCAGCAGAGCACCGAAGCAACATCAGATGCAGTTCAGGCACCCAAGCAAGCCCCAAATGCTCCTCAGAACAAATCGTGGCTATCTTGCTTTCCATGCTGTTGATTAGAACGCGTTAGGTCCCCATCTGATCATAGTTTCTCTTAGCTTCTGCCAAAATTACTTTGTTGTCTCTTGTCACCTTTACAGTTTAGTATCACTCACATGCACTACAGCGTAGCTCTAACTGGCTAGTTCTTATTCAACTTTTTCCATTCCTAAACATGTACCTCAAGTTCGGAGACCAGTCACAAAATTTCTGGTTAACAATGTACCATAATAGGTTAGTTTGATAGCACTTTTGGTAGATAAATGAATCATCGGGAAAAGTCAAGGGGCCCGAGATTCCTCAGCAAATTCTTTTGTGATGGCACACTAAAACACATGCACGCAAGTTTGAAAGGTCAAGCAAAGTTTTTGTGGCATGTTAACATTAACATCGGTTTGGTTATGCTAATATTCCATTTTCATTTGTCACTTTTAAGGATGTTGTCAAATATCTAAAAGTCTCTCTTAGCGGTAATTGAAAAGGAAGACCAATTTGTAAGTGTTAATGCAATATAAGTTTTGAGGAAATGAATTGAGCTATAGCTATCTGGATTGTTTTGATTATTTATGGCTTTGTTTGATGCTTGGGGACTAAAAACATAGAAATGAGTTTTGTATGAAAATTTCATTTTTGACAAGATTTGCTTTGGAAGACTTAGTTGACATTCTTCAGGTCCTAGTATGTTAGAAGTTTCAGAGTTTAGATGGATTAATCACCATCACCCGGCTTCAAAATCCAAGTTCTGTATTTTTCCATCTATATGCAGGCACTGTTAGAATTGGTAAAAAAGATTTTATCCAATAATAAAAATCAATGAAAGAGAGAAGATTAAGGAAATCAATAAATTAAATAGAAAATAAATTAATATATAATTGAAATAAATAGATAACAAAAGGAGTAGAAAAACTAATTGAAAAGAAATGCAACGTAGAGAAGAAATAAAGAAAGATAGAGAAAATTGATATTGTAATTTTTTTTATCAAATATAATTTAAAGAGTTCTATTTTAAGTGTTATCATTTCGTATTTATTTATTTTTTTATAAATTTGATTAAGAGAAATTCTTCTAAATATTCTAACAAATTGTATCAGAGTCGGTTGTTATTATTATAATCAACCATCCAAAGGGAGCCAGATTTAAATGGAAGAAATGATTACAGATGAAGGAAAATCAAAATTGAGAAGTTTGATGATACGAGGTTTGACTTTTGGAATATGCAGATCAAGATTATTTGTATCAAATATATTTGATGTCATACGTAAATACATTTTCACTTTCGCATCAAATATTTTCGCAAAATTTACCTAATATAATAAATTGACGACGAATTATCATTCTAAACGACGTCTAACAATTGCATTTATTTACAAAAATGTTACCGGTCATTTTTAACATTGGTTATTCAATGGTTGGACGTTGAACGCGTGACATTATACGTTGTTTTTGCACTAGTGCTAGAAAGTTGGAATGCTACATTCACAACTATGAGTAGCTCATTAGGTAGTAATAATTTGACGTTTGATGATGTTCGTGATCTGATTCTCAGTGAAGATATTCGATGCAAAGAGTCCAGAGAATCTTCAACCTCTTTAGTTTTGCATACAAAGTCAACAGGAAGACAATTGATTAAAGGATATGGATGTGGAAAATTCAAGAAGAGGAGGTCCAATTCTAAGAATCATCATAGTTCCCGAAACTCAAAGACAATTGAGTATTAGAATTGTTAAAAGTTGAGACACTACAAAAGTCACAGAAGAATCATATAGAAGCAAATGTTGCTTCAACCTTAGAAGGAGAAGATGCATTGATATGTTCTTTAGAGAACAAGGACAAGTCTTGGGTGTTAGACTCTAAAGCATCTTTTCATGCCACCTCACAGAAAGAATTCTTCAGGAATTATGTCCTTGAAAATCTTGGAAAAGTTTACCTTAGTAATGAGCAATCTTGTAAGATTGCTATTAAAGGTGTGGTCTGTATGGGAATTGAAAAATGTTAGACATATTCCCGACCTAACAAAGAACTTAATCTCAATAGGCTAGTTGGCCAATGATGGTTACACAACAGTCTTTCATGGTAATCATTGGAAGATTTCAAAGGTGTAATGACAATTGCTCATGGTAGGAAGAGTGATATTCTTTAGAAGACAAAAGAAGCTTGTCATTTGATTGCAATTGCAATAAATGAAAATTCCAACCTATGGCACCAAAGGTTAGGTCATATAAGCGAGAAAGGGATGAGGATCATGCCCTCATAGGCAAAACTATCAAGTTTTTGGTTAATAGAAATTGACAATGTGTGAAGACTTTATATGTGAGAGTGAGGATTCATACTTTGTGAGAGATGAAAGTGAGAAACATCATATTCTTAAGGTATTGATGAATTTTGGCATTTTGGGAGGAATGTTGAATTTTCTAGACTAGGTTTTGTGGGTAGGAACAAAAAATTTTCAACATATCGTTTTTGCAAATAAGCATTGTCTATTGGTCTATTTCAAATTATTAATTAAAAAAATAATAAAAGTTAAATATAGATAGCGTTTTTTTTAAAAGCATTATTTATTGTTATCTTAATAGATGTCATTTTTTTAAATAAGCATTTTCTACTTGTCTATTTTAAATTATTAATTAGAAATTTATATAAATTAAATATAGATAGCGTTTTTTATAAAAAAAATTGTTTATTGTTATCTCAATAGATAGCGCTTTTTTAAACCGTATTGGTTTTGTGGATTGATCTATAGCGCTTATTTAAAAAAGCGTTGTTTATTGAGTGTGGTCTAGTAATAATTTTGTATTAGTAAAAAGTGTCAGGATAGTACAACAATTATAGTACTAAACATTTTTAAGTTAAAGTCATATCAATGTAGCATAACTTTAAATCAATGTATTTTAAATTGAAGTTGTCCATAACTTTAAATCAATGTATTTTAAATTGAAGTTGTCCAAAGTAATATTATTTTAATTCAATTTTAATAGAAGTGTCAAGTCACAACTTTAGTTTGAAATATTTTTAAAATTGAAGTCATACTGGTTCAAAGTATTTTAAATTAAAGTTATATCAATTGATATAACTTATCCACTTTCTTAATTTTTTTCAAATCTATCTATTTTGATAATTTTTCTAAAATTTATACCTAAATGATGCTTTGGTCCCTTTATAGAGTTTTTAATTTTTTTTTTAATAATGTTCAAGTGACAAATCTTTTCCCTTATATACTAGTGGTTCTCTTTTAATAGTAGCTAAAACATGGGAGTACTCTTTAGTTTATCTAAGATCCAATTTTAAAAATCTAAAATTACCTTTCATAATTCAAAAAATCATACACTCTACTTTTTTTTTTTTCATCAAATTTTGAAATCTCATCATTTTTTTTTATAGAATTTCAAAATTCGATAAATTATCGAATTTTGAAATCTCACCAAGTAAAATTGAAAATGTAATTCCTAACCTAAAACTATTTTTGAAATTTCGAGAGTGAAAAGCCAAATGTTTATTATTATTTTTTTTACTTAGAAAAGAAACAAAACTCTTTTTAAGTGATCATTCCTTTCTTGCTTTCTTCCTTTTCCATGAATACTTTTTCCTTTTCTTTCTTTGAAGAACATACATTCATACCCAATCATTTCCTAACCTAAGTTTTCGGCCACCATCATATTCAAATCCTCAAAGAAGCTAAATAAAGAACCCAACCAAATTCTCGAGAAGCTAAGAATGAAGACCATTTTTGTTTTCTTTTCTGACTCCTAAATCCACTACCATCATTCTCTCCCCTGTTATATTTTGCAACAAAATATAAAAAAAAAATCAAAAATCTAATTTTCATCCATATACAATCATCACAACCTGTAGCCCAGTTAACAAGAATCATCCAAGAAACTACCTACAATATACCAAACCTGATAATTATTCTCCATTCTTATCTTCATTCCTTAATTTGTTAGTTTGTGAAACTTACAAATGGAAAGATTCAATCTTGAATTTCCCTTATTAAGTTGCGATACTTAAGAAATGAAAGATCCAATCTTGAATACCCTTACTAGAACATCGACAAAAAGTAACTTTGAATTGAATTCCCGTACTAGAATCTCTAATGTAAACCAAATATTATTGAAAATATTTGTAAACAACCTTTTATCCATGAAATCTTTGTACTAGAATCTCTACTGTAAACCAAATATTATTGAAAATATTTGTAAACAACCTTTTATCGATGAAATCTTTGTACTAGAATCTCTACTGTAAACCAAATATTATTGAAAATATTTGTAAACAACCTTTTATCGATGAAATCTTTCGTAAAATTGACAATCTTTCACTAAAGTAATCTGTAAAAATCATTTTAAAAATCTTCTTCATCTAGCAGATAATCACTGAATATCTTTGAAAACATTTTTAAACCTTATGCGGAATCTCCAATTCCTAATGTAGTTATTTCTTTTTAAACCCTTTTTTCTTCTCATCCCATTTCTCTGTTTCTTTCCTCTCCAGGAATCAGAGAATTAAGTAATAAGCAGTGGAGAAAATTTTGGTCTAAATCATAGAATTCCCATGTCTTTACCTCGTACGACAGAGGTTCAGAAAAGTACAGACAACCTTGGATGAAATTTCCTTTCAACCAGGCCACAATTTTTCAATAATCAAATCATGGAAAATAAACTACCCAAAGAAAGTTCCATTGTTCCACTTTCTTCTGCATATTCAAAGATGACTGTGCCTCTAAAATGAGTTAGAAAAAACAGTGATATGCTTCATGGGATTGGCCACTTCCTTGGCCCCAGCATGCTTCACAAACTCAGCTGGAGTGAGGAAACTTCCATGGCAGACACAAACAATACACACTTCACCACTTCTGTACTTGTACAGAAACCCTTCTATTCTCTTCCCATCAGGGCCATCTCCAGTTGCCCTCACACTTGGCATCCGATCCAGGATCTCCATTACATCACCTTTAAGACTGCAGTAGTTCCCAACTTTATGCCTTTTTGCCTGATTCTCCAGCTTTGTTTCACCATGCCTAGCAGAAATTTTCTTGGTCATTGTCTTCTTGGAAGCCATGGAATTGTTGTCTTCCTCGGTTGAAGTTTGGATTTTCAAAGCAACTCCTTTGACTGAATCTGTCAGACCTATATATGGAATGTTGTATCAGAGAACTGTGAGTGTGTCTTTTGGGATGAAAAACATAAAAGAAAGGCTCAGTTTCAGATTAGCAAGATCAGATGAAAAAATACTGAAGTGCTTTGCATTAGTCATCCAAAAAGAAAGTTACACCATAGGTATAGCCTTGCAAATGAATCAGACAGAAGTATATCTCAGGCATTATTACCACATGAAAAGAAAAAAATCAGTTTATATTGTATATATATAGTTGTAATCACGCGAAAAACCTTAACTCACAAGTCTTTTTTCTCTAAAATGGTTTTCTATGGAAAGAATATGGTAGTTTGGGACCTTTTGCTGCATTAAGAGGAAACTTTAGACAAAACACCCATCATGTAACATGAGAACAATAGAGAAATAATGAACAGAAGAAAGACCCCATCCCAAATTATGATTTTTCTTACAGTAAAAGCAGATTACCTTTGATGCATCATTCTATCTTAGAAAACTGTAAATGTCATAAATGCTAAGTCCAGTGTTAATCTTTGCAGACAAAACAAATGAAAGAGAAATATGCACTAGTATGTAGAAAGAAGTAAATCAACCACTTTTTCAGAAGACAGAAATAATAAATTGAATGAAACAGCTTGAACAAAAGTTATAGTCCAGACGAATGACGCACAAGCAAACGAATTTCTAGATCTAAATGGACTTCTCTGGAGTACGGTGTGACATTATGTCTGGCAAATCAAGCATGCATACATTGTTTATTTCTAGTATATAAAATACAAAGAAAAGATAATCATTATTTACCTATAAAACCAGAAATTTGCGTCAGTGAAGTGTAGTCAGACAATGAATAACAATGTACTTTATACAAGAGCAATTTAGTTGTGTTGCTGAAAATCTATTCAAGGAGAGAACTCACACTGAGGGAGATATTTTACTGAGTAAAACATAACTCTTAAAGAACAAATACATTGCCTTTAGAAATCTAGGTGGATTATTCGGCATAGGAAACTAAAAATCAAGGGAGAAAAGCAAATTGGCACACACAGAAAGGGAAAAAGGGGAGGAGATATAGTCCTCAAAACCAAAGGTTTCTTCTTATTCTTTTAATGATTTAACTGCAACACAAACAAAACATCATTATGTTCTAAGATGTCCATGCAATCACCAGAAGCATTAGTTAATAAATTAAACAGGACATAAGAATACACAGTTACAAACCACTATAACATATGCAGGTATTGAGTGAAAGAAAGCATGATGTGCAAAATAGAGGCCATGAGTGAAAGAAATCTATTACCCTGAAGCTCTGAAGCCTGAGAAGGAATTGGATGTGCCTTGAGTGGAGGAAGTGATGATGATGTATTGACATTGACAGCAGAAGCAGCCACCCAGGCAAACACTTGAGGTGAGGGTAAGGTCACGCTCCTCTGCTCCTCTGCTGGCAACGAACAAGATCTGCCAAGATATGGGTCCCACTGGACCCCACTTGCCTCACCCTCTACTGATGATGACCTTGTCAACTTTCTTTCTTCTGCATTCTCATTCTCACCGCAAGGAGAAAGCTTCAGAGTGAGGTCTATTTTCTTGGACGTGTATGCTTGTTCATTGCAACGCCTCTGCACCAAAAAGAACAAAAATTAAAACGAATCTCACAGTCTAACAGGCTCCTGGTTGCATGGTTTCAAATAAAAATTAAGAAAAAAACTCAACTTGATCAACATTTTCTTTGTTTTCTGTTTTGTTTTTTACCTCCATCGAAACAAAGGAGAAAGGAAAAACCCCTCAACGAACAGGTTTCTATCTGAAAGAAAACATATGCATGAACACGTTAGACACAAAAGTACAATCGGGTGGCCCACTTGGAAAGAAAAAATGCAAATTTATAAAAATGCAAAGAGCTGTACTAAAATTTTGCGAGGAAACTGAGAGAAGAAAACAAATGGAGGCAGGGTGGCATACAGTGTCTGTTATGCAGGTGATTTTAAAGAAAGAAGAGGATGGAAGAAAGAGAATGAGGAAGAATCTGGGGGAGAGTATAAGAAGAAAAGAGGTTGAGTTGAGAGAGAGAGAAGAAAGAGAAGAGAAGGAGAGAAAATTATGTTTGTTGTTGATGTTAACTTTAATGTTAGAGTTAATGTGTTGAATGATCATGGATTTATTCATGGGTGTAGTTCGTGAACAAGGAGGAATTCGAAAAGTTCCACGTGGTAATCAGTGGAGACAGAGAGGTTGGGTTCCCATTGTCTACTGTTACAGTAGACTTGTGCCTCGTCTCTCTGCTATTTTCAGGCACGACCCTTCTNTCTATGTATGCTAGCATAGAAGCTTGATAAGAAAATGTTGATAATTTCTAACTCTTATTGATTAAGAATAGAATATTTTAAAAACAGATTATGTACATAACATTGAATTGTATTAGTGACTTTGAGCATAAAACTTTCTATAACTAAACCTTTAAACATTGAAAATGTGATGTCTTGTTTTAAAACACATTTCACATGAATGTATCTTATAAAAAATGGTTTGTTGTTATGGGTTGTTTCCGTGAATATAATGTGAATCATTATAACATTATGGACCATTGGATGGTCTAATGTCCTAGCACAAAACACATTAAAAGCTTTATGTAACAAATAACATATGGAGTAGGCATTTCCTCGTGTTCATCCAACTTTTCAGAAATATTGTCATCATTACTGGTTTGCTCATAATTACCTTTCTCCACAAAATAAGAGTTTTAGTTGAGTCTTTCTTGTGGCCTTCATCCTTCTCATGTTTATTCTTAGGAACAAATACTTGCATGCCCAATTTGTCAAATTAATTGAACAAATAAGAAACTCGGTAAAACCAGCAACTTTTTTATGAACAAATAGAGTACAAGAAAAAGAAGACTACACGTAGCTTCCACCAGTCTACCACAAAACCGTGGGCAAAAAAGAGGAAGTAAAAAACCCAATAAAACCAACGAAGAAGACCAAAACTTGAAAGAAAAAACAAAAAGAGAGATAACGTTATTGGGCTGAGCAAAACCGCTTAGCCAAACCTGAACCCCTGAACCCATGGCACACGAAACAAGAAAATTTAAGGCACAAATGACCAAACACTACGTGGGTGTGCACTTGAGAAAGGACCAAAACCACTGCAACGAAACAGAACAGACGTTATAAGGGCAATACACACTTTCTTTGAAACGAATCTGAATCTTGCAACAAAATTTCGCTATATCAATCCCAATTTTATATCCTCAATTGTTTTTTTAGTTTGAAACTTAAATTATGAAAATTCTTAATACTTTTTATTGTTCAAAACATAATAGAATATAAATAAGACTTTTTAAAATATATATATATATATATATATATATATATATATAAATTAGTACTAAAATCATGTTTGAAAACTATTCTTATATTTTAAGCTCATTTTAAGAAAATATATTTTCTTTATAAAAACAAGCAGATAACAAGGATATATTTCAATTTAATAAAAATAAATAAATTGTATTCATCACTATACTATTTTTTTAATTTTTTATTATTTTGATAATTTCTTTTGAAATTATTTTACGCATTTATAATATATCAAAATACAAAAAAAAAAAACCATTTATGTGCATTCTAAATAAAGTCGTGTTGGGTATTATTATAAATTTTGAGACTTTAACATGTTATACGATAATTTCAAATATAATCATTTATCATATGAATCACTAAATCATTCATATTGATCAAAATTAAATTAATTAACATATTGATACAAAATTTTCTTAAAAAGAATATGGAAACTTATGTACACAAACAGAATGCTTTAATTAAAATTTGATATGTAATTAATATTTTTTATTCATAATATTTCATAACATTATTTCACATATTCATCAATAAAATCTGTCACTGAATTCTTTTTGTCTGTGAACTTCTTTTTTATAAATTCACAATTGTATAAAAGTAGAAGAGAAAAGTATACATATAGCACTATCATGCAAAATAAAATAAAAAACACTTACAGAAAAAAAAACTTGATATAAATTGATCTAAGCTTTGAAATTTTAAAGAAAAATAATGTATAACCAAAAAGCATGTACAACACACAACTAAATTTTTTAAATATTAAAAAAAATTAAGAAATTTTGGGGGTTAAGAAAAGAATCACAAAAATTGAAACACTTTTATATTTTTATTATAATCTCTAAAAATAAATAGCTAATAAAAATGTTTTTGTGTGCAATTATCGTTTCTATTTCTTTAAATTAAATTTGTATTACAGGAATTTGTATCCTTAGTTATATTTTGTGTGATGATGAAAATGAATTAACCAGTAAATAGATAAAAAATAAATCCTTGTTTTTATATGTTAAACTTTCCATTTAGAAGATAAAAAAGGAAAATAATACCTATTTTGGTATATAAATTTTATAAATTATAAAATATTGTTAGAATATGTTTATTTATAGTACTAAAATTATATCATAATCAAATATTAATCTTGGTGAACCATTTTTCAATCTATGGTGAAATGCGGAAACCTACTTGAATTTGCTATTGAGAATAATGAAGATGATGAGATTAGTAATAAGTATGTGATCTTCTAAATTCAGAGCACCTTAAATTTCTTTTTAGGTTTCTCTTCTGATGGATGAAAAAAAATATTGAAAATAATATTTGTCTCTACAAATAAGAATAGTAGCCCTTTTACATAATTTTTGTCACTTACATTTAAATTTTTAATATTTCTAATTAGAATCAACCAAAGCAATTAGAAAACACTTCTATGAAGAGTCTTCTTCATCATCGGCCCATGCTATGAGAGATAAAATTCTAACAACTAAAAAGTCGCTTAAAGACAATTCAAACGGTGAGAGATGATATTCAACAGAGAATGCTACAGAGAATGCTGAATAATGAGAAAGAAATTTAACAAAACAAAAAAATATTATAAATGTTGATGAACAACATGGATATACAACCTTCAATATGAATCATAACTCATTTTTTAGCTAACTTTATTAAGTTTATTGATGAACTTTGAATCTTTGTACTTTTAACATTATCTTTGCTTGATTGTTTAAACTTAGACATGAATAATATATTTTAATGTAAAATTATTTACCTTTCTTTTATAAATTTACAAAATATTTCATATTACAAATGTGTCATACAAGATATGTAACACTCCATTAAAATAGTGTAATATACTATTCACAAAACATCACAAAAGTCCATATTACAGTTATCTAAATATAATTATAAGTCAAGTTTTATATACAAATTTTTAACCTAAAATTATTTACAAATTTGGTTATTTAGCTATCAAAAGAAACCATTTAAACTAAAGCATCTATACATTCGCACCTTCTCCACCTAGTGCTTGCTCCATAGAAACATCGTTTACCTCTATTTTTCACCAATCAGATGATTAATTAAACATACACAAAACACAAACAAACAAATAATACAAAAAGGGTAAGCTAATATCCAAAAAGATAAAACATGGAATTCACGAAGTAGCATATAACATTTTCATTTCAATCAAACACAACACCTAAACAGTTAAGACATCTAGACTCAAAATCTGGATACATGTGTTATTGTCGAGCTATGACGGGTTGTATACACTTGTAGTGGTGGAACAACTGGCCTATCCCAAGCTACCGCATAAGATTAGTTCGTTCAAACACCCTTTGCCCAAGGTAAAGGCCCCCATACTAGGACTTTCTGCTATTCTCATCAGATGATCCCCCTTTCTACATGAGAATGGATGACCATTAGAGTGTTAGGATAACTCCCAAAGCTAAGCTCCTACAATAATACAAACACTACAGAGCCTCACCATGGGATCTCTCAACGAGAATCATGGAATTACGTCCATCTACTATGCACATGATCAAGACATACTCATCATCATCATATTCATCAACCATAAACATACACATAAACATGTTCACAAACCATAAATATTCCTATACACATCTTAATTAATCACCACATAACAATCATCATTATCATCACATACTCAAAGTATTTCAAGTATAAAATCATTTATAATATTCTGGAAACAACAACCACATGAAAACATAATTTTCTTCATAGAAGCTCAATACACACATTAGGCAAGGAAAACAGCTTGGGAACACTCACCAACAGCTCCAAAAGGATTGAAAACCCCCAAAACGACCTAAGGATCATCCAAAACTGATATCCAAAACCCCGAATTCGAGATTCCAAACAACTTAATTCATGAAAGACGACTTGTACCACCAAACGCTTACCACTAGACATCAGATGTTTAACATCAAACAACTCCTTACTAGACGATCTACCAAACGCTTACCACCATACAACTCCTTACCAAATGATCTACCAAACACTTAACACCGTTTAACTCCTTGTCAAACGATCTACCAAACCCTTACCACTAGACAACTCCTTATCGGACGATTTACCAAATGCTTACCACCAAACAACTTTTCACCAGACGATTATCACAAGCCAGACGATTATCACCAGACAAATACTACCAGACGATTTTCACCAGATTTTTTTTTATACAATAAGAGGCCAACTAAATCATAAATGGCCCCAAGACAGTTCTCAAAACTGCAAACTTCCCCCAAAATCATGATTTTAGAATTGCACCTGTCAAAACCCCCATTTTATGCGCAAAACTCCCCCTCCTTCTAATTTATTCCAAACCAAAGTTCTGTAAAAATACATAAACTCTGATTTACTAAATCTACATTCCCAAATTCCTCAATAAATAATTTTTCACGTCATCAAGCCAACTACACATCAGCATGCATAAGTTTTCAATTCAATACACCTCCCTTTTTAAACACCTAACATACTAATCTTCGCTGTTTAATTAAATTTCACAAATTAATTATCACATCATCATACAAACATGAAATATCACATGTATATCAAATTCAAACCAAATAACTAGCTTCCCTTGTCTGATGAAAGCTCAACTGCTCAAAAGTCCAACATTTGCTCTCATAGTTCTAAAGATACTAATTGCACCTACAAGCAACAAAAACATGATCAGGGTATGGGGTTACAACCGCTGATCAATAAAGAACCTAGAAGAAAGCTTAGAGGA